AGTGTCTTTGTTATCGTAATTTTTTTATGGCTTTGTGCAAAAGAGAGCGTAAATCCTGTACTTTATCGTTTAATGGGTGCTCTTTTCTATAGGCGCACTTACACTTTGTCGTTAACCCGTATTCATGTGCACGAAAAACAATTACTCTACTTTGGGCACCTGTTTGGTTACTGGAGAACACGGACAAACGACTCTGCGCCCGCGTTCTGGTTGTAACTGTTCTGTTCTGTTCTGGTTAAGTAAGGCCAGATCGGGGAGATTCCTCCCAAATTTAGGGGGAAGCATTTTTGAAGTATATTTGGAGGGAAAATATCTGGTACTACCGTTTGGAAGGAAACTTGACTCCGTTCATTTATGTTTGCCGTTTGTCCGAATTCCAAAGGCTATCGTATACGAGCTAACGACCAAGTGTAATTGCGCCTTAAGCTTAACTACTTCATCCTACATACAAAATTAAAGTAATGGTGAACAACAAGCTTCAAATTGTTATTGGAACTGGTACCAAAAGACGAAACAAAAGAGGTCATTCAATGTTTTTAAACAACGTTATATTGAACAAGTTTTTGGGAGAAGGGGAGAGCGCATATCAAACGATAATTTTGGGGTTGTATAACACGCAAATAATGGTAGCTGGAAACAGAAGTAGGCTGCGGTTTTTGCGGTTCGAAAGACTTAACTACCTTATACTGCCGATACTTAGTACTATTTAATCTACGCCGATGCCGTCAAGACTACATTGAAAGTTGTATTCAATTAAATAATAGAAAAACCTGATTGATTAATTAACTTGCTTTTTTATCACGCATTAATCGTAAATTGAATATGAAAAGGGCAGGCCGTATTTCGAAGCGACAAACTTAGAACCAGTCGCTGTTTACAATTAATAGCATTCACTTACTAAGAACACGAGGGCCAATGCTATGCCAATAAATGGTAGAATCAAAGGAAAAACTGGCTACCTTGCAAGTATGAAATAATTACTGTAAGACTGCAAGTAAATGTGAACTCATTTCCTTGCTTCGTTAATGGCTACTTTGTGTCTACCATATTTTTGCTAATAAGTCTTAAGTAGGTGAAAATAATCCGGCCTTTACATTTAATTCAGTGTTGCGAGCTATCTATATTATTCTATCATTTTAACTAGTAAAAGCTGAACCTTTACTTCGCATTTAAATAGTGATTTTTTTCTTTTCATGGCCTGCGCAGACGAGGGATTATTGTCCGCCGAGGACAAAGATCCCTGAATCATGAAACAAATTGTCGCCGCCGTGGTCTTGACATTTACTGCCAGGAAATTTCGCAAGAAAAAAAATATTCTAGAATAAAGTTGCAGTGTAGTGTCATTAATAAACATGAAGTTCAAGAAAAAGAAAGATATACTGGGTAAAAACATCCTTTTATATAGGATAGAGCGTGCAACGCGGACTACAGTTCGCTGTGTGCGTTGCTGCGCCAAGTCACACGCATTCAATTTTTTTAGGTGACTCCCGCGTACTTTTGTCTAGCCCGGTCTCTTGGTGTCTTCGGTAGTACGGGGGACTTTTTGTATGCGGTACTTTTACTCCGTCGTGTGCATTACTCGATTGTAACCGATCTATTTCGGCAGACTAAAGTTCCTCGTCTGCACAGGCTTTTAAAGATCATTTAAGTATTTTGCAAACCGTAAATAAGCGAAATTAAATGTATATTGTACAGCAAACGGCGGTGCGTCGGTTTCTTTGTTCAATAACCACCACCAAAGGCCTAACCACCTTTCTAACTTCAAGTTGCCGATTTCTTAATGACACTCGAGCAGCGAAGCGTTTGTTCTAGCGATGTCATCAATTTGTTCGCTAACACTACCCGGAGTACGCTCATTATGAGAACGGACCGCAGATTGCAAATGTCGAAACACAAGAATCGATTTAATACTGAAATTACGTAAAAGGCGTTACGCCGAAAGTGGAGCGAAGCAATCACAGCGCGGATACACAAACCCGTGCACCATGACGGCTAACGCAACAGGTGCACTGCTTTTTATTTACGACCGTCTTGTTTATTCTAATTAGGATCGTAAGCATTAAGGTTATCAGCCACCGTCTAAAATCCAATAACAAAGCAATTACCGTTCCACAGCTGTAAATTTTGCATTTGTTAATAAAATAACAATCAACACAAACATACATTTATCAAAACTGTAAATTGTCTATCGTTTTGATTAAGGAGTCTGAAGAAAAAGCATTAAGTAGGCTGCTAAATTTCCATGCTGCTACTAAAAAAAGAAACTTTATCCAATGACTTCAGGTGACTTCAGAATTATCCTTAAAGTCATTTTTCAACTTGAAGACTCTGTATATAATAATACAGGGGGAAAAAACAGCCCTTGCTCAGTTTCTTGCCAGTTCTTCTCAAGGTCTCCCGCTGTACATTTGCAAACTGATGGGGTAGCTTCTCGATCTTCATAAGAGCTTGTAACAGCCTGATTAAAGGATTTTGAAATGAACAGATCAATTTCTGTTTTCAGTAAAACTGTACTTCTTGTGTACAAGAGGTATTAGAGGTAGGTACTTGTAATTTTTTTTGTGAAAAAGGCCTTAAAGTGACCATAACGCTCGGCTTGTGTTATGGTCACATCACAAACCCAGTGTGAAGTATCACCTCTTGGGCCAAAGTAGTAGTTTAGCCGTGCTCCGGAGCAGTGGTAGGGATTGTACCAGGACAATAAATGGGCCAGTGCTGGGACAGCAACCAACCACTACAGTAGTACATGTAAAACGATGAAGGATGGCTATGGGTCTGATGTCCATTGTACTTAATTTGTCTCATGCTGTTGCAACTGTAAAGCTCTATCAATAATAAGAATACCAGATTCTTATTTGAAAACGATGTTCATGTAATAGGGGTGATGACGGGGTACAGTAAACGAAATTCTATTTAGTCTGTCAGTTTGATGATCAAAAATTAATGGACATGAATTTTTTCTTCGGGAAATCAACCAAAAAAATTACTAGTGACATCACTTTCAAGTGAAAATTGTACCAAAACATGACGTCATGCGTATGTGTGTCCAATACTTTTTGATAATCTACCTGATAAACGAAGAAAAAAAAAATTAGTCATCATCCCTATTCATTAAGAAATATACTACTACTATAAAATGGATTTAAATCTACCTATTTGTAGTAGAGGTTAATAAGTACTAGCTAAAAGATATTAGAACTAAGAAGTAAAAGTAAAGCAATAGAATTTATAATGCATGCAATAGAATTAAACATATAAGTACTGAGATAACTAAGACTACTGCCTCATGTAAAAAATATAATAAAAATAAATTCCAGTATTTTGTCTCGTAAATTTAACAGCTGTAAAATTTTTGTACCTTATATGTTTTTTTGGCATGAATAAAAATTAAAAATTATTATTATTATTAAAAAAACTAGTTGTAGTAGATACTAAGGTATCTGATCATAGGATACAATAATGATATCCATGTAAAAAAAATAAGTTAAAAAGACAGATTGTTGAAGATAACCAAACAAAGTATAAGTAAAACAATATAATATTATATGTTAAGTTACACAATGCAGCACTGTTATCTGGATATCAGCAGACTTATCTAGACTCATTTATCTATTCTTCATGAATTCAGTGAACTATTGTACCCATAAAATGAAAAAAAAATTTGGACTGGAGATAGTAAATGCTTTTTTTTTATATTTACTGGATTTTCAATGCACTGTATAATATTGATGATATTCTAAGGGTAGAATATGGAATAATATTAAAAGTAGCAAGGGATTTATCATAAAATAGTTAGTAATTAGAATCACAGAATTTTTATTGCTGTGTTTTTGAGTTTGAAAGTACATAATTTATTGATACTTTTATAGAGTATAATTAAATACTTTTATTTATTACAAATATAAATAGTAAGAACCGAAAATATAATTATTCTCCTATGGTGTTTTATTTATTATAGCTTTTCAGTGTACATAATCAAATTTCAAATACAAAATAATAATTCAACATTATCAGTAGGAGCGATTACTTAGTTTACATCCTACATCAGATTAAAAATATTAACAGTAGCTTCTGAGAATAGCTGAATCTGACCAAATACAACATCACGAGACAAAAGTTCGCAACGAAGTCTTTCAAAATCTACAATAAAACATCATATTAATGTACAATTCTACACGGATTTTAGTTTATCGTGCGAAAACTAAGTATATAGATAAACTTTATGTACACGTAGTCATGATTATGATATGGAATAACTTATTTATTGGCAAAACGAAACCAGCTTACCTCGTCTGTTAAAGGGTCGAACCCGGACGGCAACTTTTATCTTATCCGAGGCCATAATTAACACTTAAATTGCACAAATACAATCAAAACACAACACTTTACACATCAGAGTATAATAAATTATTGCACTTAATCACCCATATTCTAAAACAACAAAATTCATTATTTCACGTTATTATCGCAACGATCCCGGATTGACACTGTCCGCCATGTTGTTTTTAGATCTCGTAGTAGTAGAGCTTGGTTTGTTCAAAAACCGATAAATACCGAATAATAACTACCGATTAAAATGATTCGGGTCAGCGCTGGTATGTGAACTCATGTTTTTCTGCACATATACTCAAAATTAAATATATTTTCTACATCGCAACCCAATAAATAATGAAATAACGTGAATTATTAATATTGGTGCCAATTCTGGCGTGATTCTCTAAACTTAAAACTAAATTTAATATCAGTCTCTCCTTTTCATTCTGTATAGAGAATGACAAGGATATACTGCTGTCAAATTTAAGTTTAGGTTTAGAGAATCATGCTAGAATCGATACCATTGTACGTTTATTAAATATGAGAGCAGTAGCAGCAGAATAAAAATCTGGTTTTCGAAAAACCCTTAAAAATCCGTAGTATCTCATGCTTTCAACAACGGTATATTAAAAAAAAAGACATTGACATACGTCCGGTAAAATAGCGTGGATAGTGTTGAGTGGTTCGTTTCGTTTCACTCGTAGAGTTTTCATGAATCATGACAAATCGTTTTTTATTTACATTTTCTGAGAAAGTTTGTTAGAATCCTAGTAGACAACTGTTTAATTCAAACTCCTAAGCATGGCATCAGATCCATTATTTGGGTGGGACCTTACCTTCAGGACTGTTGAAAGAGATATCAAGAGGAAATCTGATGTTATTGTTGCTTTCATCCACTGGAATCTTACAAAAAGAGGTTTTAGAAGCATTGGAATTGGTGATGAGGTAACATTTATAAAACTCATAAATAAAACTATATTTGTCTCTGGAGTTATGTAGGTACCAGTGACCAAGCCTGAAATAATTGCAGTACCCATAAAATATCCATTTGAGTTTAATAAAGTTATTTCAATGTTGTAGCGAACTTTATCTGGAGATGAAGAAAAATCAGAATTGCTGCCAACCGGCTGGAATGATAAAGAAAATTATACTTTAAGATATGTGCTTGAAGAAAAACTTTACATTCTACATGGACTAAACACTGATGGAAATCTTATTGTGAACTTAATGGTATGTGGGCAATGTTAACAAAAAATATATCTTAATGTAAGTAGTCAGTACTTACTGCTAGTGTGTTTACTTTAAAAACAATTTTGATAAAATATACTTACAGCAATGTTCATATAGGTATGTATTATAATGTTAACATTTGCAAGCATTGTTTATTGTAATAATCAATTTATTGCAGAGGTCAGAAGACTTGGCGGTATCTAATATTGCTGTTAAATTGGAAGATTCTGTAAAGGAGACTAGTGGAACTATAGACAAGATGATGCCAAACCACAAGGAACTCATGTTTAACATCAAAAGAGACCTTATTGATACCATAACAGAACGATCAACAACAACAGCTGAAACTCAAACTGCGCGTAGTGAGTGCATTTGAATTATTTGCTACAACTTTTGACAAGTTATATGGAAAAATCTTTTACTTACAAAACTATGGACATTGATATTTTGTATGATGATGAAGTTGTCACAAAATTTCTGTAATATAAACTACTAATTTGAGTGCAGTTTATATTACAGCCTTCTATAAGCTAAAATTTTGTTATAATTTTTATTATTTTAAAGCATGTAACTGCTTGATGTTTAAATCTAATGAAAATATTTTTTCTAGTTATATTTTCTTTAGGCGACCAGGCTTTGTCACAGCAGGCGGGGGCTCCTCTCCCTACGCGCCTCCGGACTCTAAAAAACACTAGGGGTAGGGCAGACCAAGACCACGGCGTGTCAGAGTTGACCAAGTCGGTTCTGAATTAAAGATTGTTGTAAAGCCACATTTACCTTTTTTTCTAAGTGTGGAAATGGAATGGATTTTTTTCTAATGGAAAGCTGAGCCTTCAATTAATGTACTTGTAAAACTCAGACCAAATAAAAAGTATAGACGGAGTCTGCCGAACCGAAAAGTGAAGCCGATAAAACTATGCCTCGCCGTGTACATACACAGTTACACGCACACACATGCAACGAAACTACGCCTTGGCTTCTCAGTCGAGCTATCCCGACGCGCGGAGTGTGACGTAATAATAAATAAAAATATTTATTAGAGAAAATGCCGAATTGTGTAGTGAAAACGTGTAAAAACCAATCTTCCAAGAATAAAAAACAGGATGGAATCACATTTCATACGTAAGTAAAGTTATAAACTGCTATTAATCAAAATCAAATTTGAGGTTGTCGCTTTGTAAACAAAACCCGAACGAAATGTTGCCATGATTATTCGTTACAGTTTTACCCTTTTGTTGGGTAGCGTGAAATATAACGTAACGTTATTTTATTATATACATTGTGTGGCATACTTTTATATTATTCGAATATTGTAATGCATGGATAAACAATTACACGAAACATCTTTTTTCTTTATGTATTCGTATAAATTTTTTGGAATGATGATTAATACACATTATTTAATATACGTTCTTTTTAAGATTTCCTAATCGAGATCAAGATCTAAAAGAGAAGTGGATTGCAGTCATTCGTAAGAGTAGAAATGCACCATTGTGGCAACCAGCTTCCCGCAGCGTGGTTTGTTCGACTCATTTTCAGAGCGACGATTTGTAAAATAATAATATATTTGTAATTTTATTAGTATTGTACTTTTTAATGGCCTTTTTGACCCAAAATTCGCGATGTTTGTGGATTTATTTTATTATGTTCTTGTATAGGAACTAGTGATTATATTTTGTGTATTCTATAGAAAATTTCATGTACATTTTAATAAAAGAAACTGTTTATCAACATTTGTATATGCTTTTCGTTTTATCGACATAAAGTTGAGATGACTGATTTGTAAGCCATTTCAAGTGCCTTGTTGCGAGTGCTTGAAACTATAAAATGAACAAACCTATTCCATCCGAGACTTTTAACTAAAGTAAAACAATCAATCCAACATAATTAAACGTCAACACATAAATCAAGGCACTTGGATCTCGCATTTGTTTTTATCAACACTTGCAACACGACCCTTTTTTTTGTTGCGTGTTATATTTTATAATTGTATTTGGTAAGTTATTATATACATTCATACGTATATAGTACATTCTATATGTACAAAAACCTGGATTTATAATTTACAAATTTTGAAAATACACCTCATTTTACCTATTTAAACGACTTTTTTTATCTTTCCTGAGTTTACCATAATGTAATTAAAATAAATTATAGACATGACGCATTGTGTACACACTGTTTTATTGAAAATTTTATGGAGAATCCAAATATACGTTTGTGAAGGGTATTTTTACAAAATAACAGAGAAATCGGCAGAACAATGCAATCGTTCCCACCCAGCGGGCGGGCGGTCCATAAAGAAGTCCGGCACTTGTAGGTGAGAACGGCGCATGACCTTTGGCTCACGAGAGGTTTAGAGAATAAGCTTACGATATTTTTTTCTAATATTTTATAACGTTATTAAAAAGTTATGAAATAACGTTATTACATTTTTCTAATATTGGGGTGTTTTATATGACTATGGTAACACTGGCTATTGCACTACATACAGCGTTGCCAGATACACTGTAATTACAGCAGATCTACTGTATTTTCACACGATCTACTGTACACTGTAATACTAAAATTACAGTGTATGGAGGACACTGTAATTTTTCTAAGGGCTAAAATCTTTTCGAAGAGCGTTCGAGAATGAGTTTAAAACTTACTGGACTATTTTTCACCGGATCTCGAACGCACTCGTAGTTTAATGTAAGTAAACTGAAGGCAGCCTTTCTAAAAAATGATTATTACGAACTTGTCGAAAGGCAACCCCCCGTCCTCCGCCACCTCTCTGCTTATGACACAACTCTTGTTACTATTGAAATAAGAACGGAAATGTCTTATTTTAAACGGGCAAGAATAGTGGCGCGGTGTATACTATGCGGGAATTCCCCGGACGTAGACTAGGAATCATTTCGGAGAGTAGGTACGTATTAAGCGCCCAAATTTTGTTAACCGTGTTTAAGCACGAGTTGCATTAATTTTAAACCAACTGAGAAAATGTTAAAATCATTTCATTCGGGGATCTACAAAAACGAAACTGCTGTCGGGCTAAATGATAGTGACAGTGATTAATAAGTGGTTAGTCAACTAGAAAGTGTATTTTCATTTAAATTTAAACAATATAAGTTTCTTGATATCTGCTGTAAAATTTACTGTATATTTTTTTACTTTTACTGTATTTTTGTCTCAAACACTGTATTTTTTTGCACCCAACACTGTAATATCAGTTTCCTCGTCTGGTAACACTGACTACATACATAAAAAACCGGCAGACGCCGTCTTTACTTTTTATTTGGTCTGAGTTGTAAAAGTATTCATTTGGCATTGTGGGTTACCTATAATGCGAAGAGATAGCGCTGCCTTGCAGCTTAAGAATGGCTAGAAGAATTTCGATGCGGTCCGTGAGGGCCGCGGTAGCATAATTGGTCAGTGCATTCGCCCGGATTGCGAAGGGTGCGGGTTCGAGTCCCGTCTGCTGCCTGGTCTGCGTGGATTTTTTTCTAGTTATATTTTCATTAGAATTAAACATCAAGCAGTTACATGCTTTAAAATAATAAAAATTATAAGTATAATTGCTATTTCTTCTTTCAAACAAATGTTTAATACTTGTAAAAGTATTCATTTGGCATTGTGGGTTACCTATAATGCGAAAAGATGGTGCTGCCTTGCAGCTTAAGAATGGCTAGAAGAATTTCGACGCGGTCCGTGAGGGCCGCGGTAGCATAATTGGTCAGCGTATTCGCCCGGATTGCGAAGGGTGCGGGTTCGAGTCCCGTCTGCTGCCTGGTCCGCGTGGAATTTTTTCTAGTTATATATTTTCCTAAGATTAAAATTTTGTATCAATGAGTATGATGGTGTTATGATAATGTAGTGCAAAGTTTTATTTAATTATATTATAAAATTACAGCATACACAGATTTAGTATTTCTTTAATTTTAAGTAAAAAAATAATCCATTTCATAAATGGAAAACAGATTAGGTATGTTACCAACTTTCCTTCGACTTTGAAGGTGGCATCATTGTAATACAAGGACCGTGCAATAAAGGCATGATTTGAATTTGAGATAATTAGTTCACAGGTTTAGCATGAACAGCTTTCTATATGCGTGTATTAATAAAATGAAATATTGGTCTCAAATTATTATTCAATTGGTTTTCAGGTAACTCAAGCAACAGGAGACCTTCAGATGATCCGCTAAGAATCCCCCCAAGGCCTTTACCTGGATTACACCCAGACACACCAGATTTATGGTACTATAACTATTCTTAGACATGTGTTTTCATCAACAACCTATTAATTTCCACTGCTGGGGCACGATGAGGCCTTCCATATGGATGGAATAGGGAAATTAGGCTGTGACCCACCATGAGGACTCAGTGCAGATTTGGTGGGTACTAACGAATGCAGATGCAGCCAGGATCAATGACTTGACGTGCCTTCCAAAACACAGAGAAGCTTGAGATAGTTAATTTTTGATCACCCATCCAATGACTGACCACTGCGAAAGTTACATAGCTTCAACGATCGCAGCCGAACGCGCTAATCTCTTACGCCATCGAACTCCACATAATGATGCCCCAGGGAAAATATTCCAGTTGCTTCTTTAGGACATTGTGAGCTGGGATTTAATTTTCTGCTCGCCGAGTTGTCTTGTCAATTCTTTCAGTAAATATTACATTACTTACGTAGTAATTGTATTACAGAGGAAAGTATTATTAAAAACAAAAAAAAATGTGAAGTATTTTTGTTTGAAACAATACACAATAGTACATTACGATACGCTTGACCTAAGTTGCTTATTACTGCACGGCGTGAACGCCGGTTCAGATTACCATTTTGAAAGTATATTTCAAAAGGAAAAAATCAAATATCATTACAACAAAATAGAATTTCAATGTATCCATGAACGTTTATTCCTTGATTGGCATAGTAAAGTTAAGTTACGCGTATCGTAATGTACTAATTCTACATGAGTGAAGTTGGTCAATTCATTTACACACCGTGCAGAAATAGGCAACTTAGGTCACGGAAAAGCGTGCGTAAAGTGCGGGTTTAGGTCACTGTGCTATAAATATTTATAATGGTTGGGCATGAACATACATTTGTCATGTTATTTTTTAAAACCATTTTTCTTAAATTAACTAATTGCAGGGATCTACCGCCGGCAGGTATGCCAAACATAGGACGTTCAGATTTGGACCCCTTTGCCCCTAGTGGAGGGGGCATGCTGTTTAATCCGTTCAATCCAAGAGGAAACCCAGAAAATCCAGGTCTTGGAATACCTGGAGGTCTACCTAGGTTTGTATTCAATGATAGACAGGGGGTAAAAGGAAATATTATCGCATACCAGCTAAAAATATTAACAAAAAATCTTCAAAATTTCATAACTTTTGTAGATCACCTGCCACAAATTAGACTTATTCAATTAATGCTAACATGCCAGCTGTTGGAACAGGTATAAGAGAGATTTTATCCTCAGACAAACACACACGCGCACTAACGAACACGCTTTTATTACGCCCCGTGCGGAATGGTGTAGCCAGATAGAACAAAGTGCACGTTCCACTCTTTGCATTCATATGATCATTTGCTTTCATAAATAATCTCTGGTTTGAGAGGCTTCTGCAATCACCTTACTTTAAAGCAATATGAGGTTGGGTTTTGGGGTAGAAACGCACGTATATTACGGATATAGCCCAAGAGGTACGATACTCGCCATTCACGCCCCAAAACCCTCTAGACGTCATCCGGTGAGATTCCCAGGGTCAAGTATATTCCATGGTTATCGCCACCGATTGACGTCACCCTATTCAGCGACCACCTACCTATGTTGTACCAAGTGTTCTGACGTCTCAGTACACTGAAGGCACGCTATGTCCCCGTTGTATCGGGGTACGAAGCCTTTCAATGACGCAAAGACTTTCCATGAATTAAATTGAAAATTTCAATTATCGAGAGTTTAATGAGTCTGTAGGGGACAATAAGACATTTTTAAAGCAAATAGTAATTATGTAAAGTAGGTTGTAATTAAATAAAAGTAAAAGCTAACAAGAAGAATAAAGTTTTTCACATTCAGACGCGGCCTGCCCTTATTGGTCGATCGTGTTTGAACACTCGCTTACATTGCAAGCGAATCTAGCTGGCCACAAGCCGCATCTGTTTGTGGCTACTATGACACAGCACTCGCGGCTCAAAAGCGATCCGCTTAAATTGTGGTGCAGGGGCCCAATTCTCGCGGCGTAGATATTATATCGGCTTCGAGATAATATCGAAAGTAGGGATATCTATTGAAAATATCTACTGATGGTAAAAAATGCTATTCTCGTGGATTTTCGATATTCCAATGATATTATATCTATCGTAGATATTCTTTCACTGCCGAATACGTTCCGTTTTTCTCGATTAAGTTAACATCATAGTCTATATAAAATAATAATAAATTAGAGCAGAATTTTACAAGCAACAAAATGATATTTTATGAATTCCATTCATATTGCATATGTGTATACATTTTTTGAGTATAAGAAATCTCAACTTTACCTAAATTGTATGCGTATTTAATTTCAACGTTATGTGTAATGAAACTTCAATATTATTTAAGATTCTCCCTTTTCAGGGAAGGCAAAGGGAACCATACCTATAAAGCCTAGTCTTTAATTATATTAATCTTCTTTTTTTTACATTCGAATGTCGGTGTGGCGCATTCTAATGTTTCTTGGAGTGTTTGGCACGAAATTTATGGAGTTGGCTTTTTCTCTAAGCTTCTGTGAGGTAGTCAACACTACAATAAAGTTCTCGCGTCCACTTGACCGGAATAGCGTATATTTTAAAGATTCCACTAATTCTTCAGTTGCGCAGACGGTTGTAATACCAAATCACACCAATATTATTTCACAATATCCACTATGAACGAATTTTAGAATAATTAAAATAAGATGCCTACCGCACTCGCAGAAATCCCGCCAAAACTCCGTATCGTCAATAAGAAAATGGTGTCGATTCTGGCATGATTCTCTAAACCTAAACGTAAATTTGACAACAGCGTATCCTTGTCATTTTCTCCATACAGAATGAAAAGGAGAGACTGAAGTTAAATTTAGTTTTAAGTTTAGAGAATCGTGTCAGAATCGATACCAATGTCATTCATAACTTTAAAGATTTCTAACCAAATTTTTGTTTAAACGTAATTTTTTTATGAAGTCGGCGTCCCTCATTTCAAATGGACCCTCTTGCTCTCACAACGGCGCTTTAGCACAGCAGCAGCAATCACGTCATTTATTAAATCATTGACGAAAACATGAATCAACTCATCCATCGTTAATAAAAACATTCTCTATACAGAATGAAAAAGTGACTGATGTTGTTTAGAGAATCACGCCAGAATCGACACCATTGTTTACCTACTTCTTTATTTACTAATTATTTATGAAGGCAGTTAACAACATCTTGAGGTAACAATAATTGGCAAAGACACACGACAACACAATAAATAATAGGTAAAAAAAGTGGAAATAACACGATTGACATGCCAAGATCCATAGATATTTATATATCGAAGGCTCTTTACCAGTCGATGTATGTCTACTGATCATCCGTAGATAAATATCTATTGCGACATGGTGAGAATAGGGCAAAAAGGTTTTCCTTCGATAAAAGCCAGATCATTCGATATATATCGAAGGTGATATAATATCTATGCCGCGAGAATTGGGCCCCAGGACCTCAATTCGCTTTAGTCACAATTGGAGATTCAAACACGCTGCATGTGCACTCAATATAACAATATTGAGTATATTCTGTGTTATAAAGATAAAACAATGCCTTTGATGCTTTTATAAAAAACACAAATAGGTCAAGATCAAATAACAAATTAGACTGCAACGCTTTTCATTCGCAGAACTGTGAAAACTTTTTTTTTTCTTCAAAAATATCTTTTCGTCATGAATGTTATTTATGTAGAGAGAGAAATGAAAACACAGTCGCCAAACCAGGCGACGCGGACTCATCGTTTCGTTCGCGCTACGTTGAAGCGTACAATTCTGTCTCGCTCGCTCGATTGAATGTTTATTTACAGGAGTGTGCATGCGTGAGAGTTGCTTATGTGGTTGAGTCGGAGCATATTTTATTTGATGCTAGTATGAGCGTCTTCCCTTTTTGTTTTATTTGTTTTAATCTAAGGCTGCCATGATAAAATTGTTTTCCTTTGCAGAGGAGCAGTACCGCCCGGAGCAAGATTTGACCCGTTCGGCCCACCCGGGGGCCCGATGCCCGGCAGAAGACCGCCACCGCCCGACGCAGACCATTTACCCCCACCCGGTTTCAACGACAACATGTTTATGTAGTCCTCAAATAAACAAACAAAATAACATATATTAAAGATTTTCCTGTTTATTGCAGTTCCTGAGTTTTATTTGGAAATAATGTAATGCCATAGAGGTAGGGCTGCCATCCGTCCGGGTTTCCCCGGATTTGTCCTATAGTACAGTCAATCTGTAGGTTGAGTGGTGAAAAAAAAACCTAAAGAGTAAGTCTTGTTTTTTCTGTTGCCAAATGACGTCAGTAAGCCACCTAGGCGATGGGCATGTTCAACTCGTAGGCGTTTTTTAAACTGATTTTTATTGTTTTGTATGCATTTTAGAAACTTTTTTTCGACCATAATTGTAGAGGGCGTTGACTACTATAATTTATGTCATTGTTGCAATCTCGTACAACAAAAAATGCGCATTGTAGGTGGCGCTAAAGTCTCAAAAAAAGTGTTTTTTCACTTTTTCACCCTGAAAATGTCATTTTAATGGAAAACTTTAAATGGAAAAGTTATTCCGTACATAATTACCAACAACTTTTGTATAAACATTTTTTTTTAAAACGTACATTGAAATGTGCACTGCAAATGTGCAGTGCAAACATTTGCAGTGCACATTTCAATATACATTTTCCTAAATTTTATTTTTTTTCATGATAGAAAAAAAAAGTAAAAACGTACCTTGAAATGTGCACTGCAAATGTGTACTTGAACTGCCCAAAAACCGCTCTATTGGATTTTTCATACCTGCGCAATTTATAACTTGAAAACGGTAATACAAAAAAAATTGATTATACAAAAGTTGTTGGTAATTATGTACGGAACAACTTTTCCATTTAAAGTTTTCCATTAAAATGATATTTTCAGGGTGAAAAAGTGAAAAAACACTTTTTTTGAGACTTTGGCGCCACCTACAATGTGCAGTTTTTGTTGTACGAGATTGCATCAATGACATAAATTGTATTACTCAACGCCCTCTACAATTATGGTCGAAAAAAAAGTTTCTTAAATGCATACAAAACAAGAAAAATGCGTTTCAAAAATTTTTTGAGGGTTTTTTTGAGTTTTTCAAAAAACGCCTACGAGTTGAACATGCCCATCGCCAAGGTGGCTTACTGACGTCATTTGGCAACAGAAAAAAAAAGACTTACCCTTTAGGTTTTTTTTTCACCACTCAACCTACAGATTGGCTGTACTACTAATTGATGGTGATAAAAATTACGGTGAGATATTTCGCTGTATCGTTGGTGATTTCAATTTGGGTATGATCGATTGGAGCTTGGTAAATGAATCTTCTAGTATTTAACCGATTTTTACTGAGGAGATTGTAATGGCTATGGAGTACTGCCATACTATGATGTCGATTCTGGCAAGATTCTCTTATAGCTAAACTTAAATTTGACAACAGTGTATCTTTGTCATTCTCTATACAGAATGAAAAGGACAGACTGATGTTAAATTTAGTTTTAAGTTTAGAGAATCCTGTCAGAATCGACATATATATATATATATACTATATATTCCTCATTCCAATCTCATCAGTGAGGGCACGCGTAACCTCTGATTCAATCACGACTGTGCTGAAGCTGCTTTTCGTAAGCAAGCGGCATATTGCGCTTGGATCAGAGGCCGCGCTGTAAGAATCCGGGGGTCGAATCACTAAAAGCAGCCTACAATATTGCTACCAAGACCTGTAAGAAGGCTTACATCAGAGCGGATGCTCAGCGCGTTGCACATGTTGGTCACGAACTCATAACGCATCCTATGGGCTCCCGTAGCTATTGGCGTTGCAAAAGAAAAAGGCTGTGCAAAAGAACTTATATATTAATGTACTAGTATTTTGTATGATAGATGGTAATCAGCAGGGTATTCTGCTGTTATTATATCTCTATTAAGCCATCTATCAATTAGATTCTCTGTATATTGTAGGGTAGGACATTCTAAGATAAGATGCTGTAAAGTTTCCACGCTTTTCGAATTGCAATATCGACAATCATTTTGGTCTTCCAATTTAATTCTGTTTAAATGCTTCCAGAATCTTCCATGACCAATTCGTATGCGGTTTATAGTAGTAATATATTTTCTAGATGGATTTTTCAATTTTTGGTGTCACGCCAAAACACCAAGAAATTCACAGTGATCTGTCGAAAAGTGAATGAAATTGATAAGGATACATTGTTATGTATATATATTACTGCATTTATTAGGGCCTTAGAGTAAGCCATGTTTTTATTTTATTTTAACATTTAAACAGGTGTTTCTTTTAGGGTGTGTCAAGCTAGTGTGAGCTAATAGCGGAATACCATACGTCCATACCTATCAGTTTAACCCCCATGTATGTTCTATGATATTTCGTAGTTTTCGAGTTAGAATGTTTTTCGCTATTTTTTATGATTCAACGGTGAGACAATTTTGAAAAAGTATTACTTATTTGGGTTGATTTTTCTTCGATATTTTTGATATGTAACATTTTTCCTCTCGCTTTCCTGTTTGTGTAAGTGATTTCGTGAAATGGGACGGAAGTGCGTAACAGGATATCGCGAAAGCGCGCGCTATTTGATTTGATTTTAGAATATAATGATCAAATGGTTTTTTCCCTTTGCAGTAGGTTTTATTTCTTTTTTTACTAATATAAGGTGAGATTTCATATGTTACACATCATGCGCGACTACTCGTTTTTTTAAACAGAAAGCCTATTGTTTATCATTTTATAAGTAAAATAATCTTTTTCCTAACTTTAACCTAAGATATAAAAAATTTCATCGATACTAAATAAAAATGGATTAAGTAAAACCGAATAGATTTTCAATTACAATAAAAAATATATATATGTTCCATTTCTTCTGACTAATTGAAAAACTGCCCGACTACATAAACTTTCATAAAAATACAAAAAAGATGTTACTAAATGGGGCATCATTTGCTGAAATCTGTCGTTGTAGGTGTTGTAGTGGTGTTGTATCGGAAATCGTGTAATTTTAATCTATACTAATACATATTATAAAGCAGAGTTTGTTTGTTTGAACGCGCTAATCTCTGGAACTACTGGTCCGATTTGAATGATTCTTTCAGTGTTGGGTAGTCCATTTATCGAGGAAGGCTAGAGGCTTTTTTCAAAATGAGGGATCCGTAATAAAATTGCTATTTTGTAACACAAGGTGTAAAATCGAAAACCTATTCTTGCGTGCGCTGCAAAAACTATTGACAATAGAATAAAATGATGTACTACGGGTTTGTAGATCCCATTAAGACCTACAAAAAAGTCCGCGAGAACATACATCTAGCTATCATGGTTTAATCACAATAACCGATTTTGTGTTCAAAATAATTATTAAATAGTCTGAAGAAAAAAAAACTACGTTAAATATGTATCGTAATATTAATCTTTATCGAAATTGAGCATTATGTTATCAAGAGTATATATGTAGAAGTAAAATACTTTTTGTTTCATCTCAATCGGATATTTCGTTTAAAAGTTCTCACGTGTGTAAGATGTTAAGAGTTGGTACCTATTAATGAGTTATGGGCCATAGAGTTTTTATCAACATAAAATCCTGTAATAATCTTTTTCGAAATATATTTGTTGATGATTGTAAGTAATATATAATATCTTTGAAGAGTATAATAAATACATTTCTAAATTAACTCTGCTAAGGAAATCCACGCGCGCTTGATGCAAGCAAAACAAGACGCTGGCGGCGCGGCGGCGGGCGAGACGAGGAGGCGGAGCTTAGTCTGTCGCTCTTATTGAAAGAAATTGAAAAAAATATTTTATTGAAAGTATGACAGTACACGGTCTAAGGGTGCACTAAGAAGGTGTGAATAAAAATTGTTAGCGTGTGTGTATTTTTTTGTTTGTGTGACACGATTTTTGAAGTGTGCGTTTATTTATAACAACAACATGATCGTGTTTGAGTGAATATTGCGTTAGTGTGCTTTACGTGTGTACCTCGCTATCTACTAAAATGGCGAAATATTTTGTTCAGCGAGTAATGGTATGGCATCTCCATTGATATATGCTCTAAGTTAACGTTATAATGAGCGTTTTCCATTTAGAAAAAAAAGTCGACACTGTGTTGCACTGTGTCGACGATACTATAGCAAAAACCTAATGCCAACTAAAGCTTTGTAACTTCAATACTTTTCATTGGTAACAGTGTTACCAATGAAAAGTATTGAAGTTTGTTGGTGAAGTTAGTGAAATTTTTGGTAGTTGTATATATTTTGCAATAGCAACACCAAATTTAGGCAAGTATGGCATGAAAAGGTGACAACATTATCATTTTCAGTTTTAATATTTTTTTGTGCGGAGCACACGTTTCCTGCGTGTGTGGCGATTTTCTTGGCTGCTCACGGCTGCAACCGTTCAATTTCTATTCAATGTGTATGGCTGTGGAGGTGAGTCTGTTAATTTATTATTTAGTTAATAGAATATTATGTAACTTTATGGGATATATTCGTATTTTATGAAGGTCGTGTCCTCCTATTGAACGGCGGACGTCACCAGGCGTCTGATCTTTTAACCATTTCATATAATGTGACCGTTCTTTTATTTAGTTACAATGAATTTGTTCGTTAATATAACAGAATAATGTAGAGCAATGCTTTAGTTTCATCACAATTGGTAATTATAGCTACTTTCATAAGATGACGCTTGTCTCTATTCTGATGGGTGTCCTACGCCTCTTTATCAAATTCACTAGGGACGGTTGGATTACTTACCTATATTATATTTATGAAATAGTTACGTATTCTGGAATATTCAAATTGCATTTAAGCGTTTAAAGACGAAAGATTTTGATGACTCTAATCATCAAAAAATCTACCCTCTTCATAAATGATGCAATAAAATTGTCAATGATTTAAATCGGTACTAGTCTTTGTTGTATTGCGTACATATTGAACAGTTAAATGATAATGTTCTAGGAATTTTGTTAAAACAACATGTCAACTTTTCAGTAATTTATAGATATTCAATAATATCTATCCTTACCTCCCTAAATTGAATTATTTATCGTGTTTCGTAGTTTATTTATTTGTATTCAGGAGTTTCATGCCCAAATTAAGGATTGAGCAATATATGTGTTTGGA